TCTCTCTCTCTCTCTCTCTCTCTCTCTCTCTCTCTCTCTCTCTCTTTATATATGGTAAGATTATTGATCTAACCCTTTTTTGTGTACAAGAGAGAGACACTATACTTCATATGCTTGTAGTCTATTATGCAGTAGACCCTACTGCACAGTAGGGTGTGTGTATGAGACAATAAAGAGAGCGCCTCTTGGCACCATCGTTGTAAGAGTCCCGCTGAAGGCTAGTCTTGCAGTCTTGTAGTCTTGTAGTTTTGAAGTCTTGCAGAAGGTGCCTCACAACTGATACATCTTTCTCTCTCTCTCTCTCTCTCTCTCTCCCTCTCTCTCTCTCTCTCTCTCTCTCTCTCTCTCTCTCTCTCTCTCTCTCTCCCTCTCTCTCTCTCCCTCTCTCTCTCTCTCACTCTCCCTCTCTCTCCTCTCTCTCTCTCTCTCTCTCTCTCTCTCTCTCTCTCTCTCTCTCTCTCTCTCTCTCTCTCTCTCTCTCTCTCTCTCTCTCTCTCTCCTCTCTCTCTCTCTCTCCTCTCTCTCTCTCTCCCCTCCCCTCTCTCTCTCTCTCTCTCTCTCTCTCTCTCTCTCTCTCTCTCTCTCTCTCCTTCTTTGATTCTAAATTTCATACCCTGAAAAAACAGCATTATCAGCGTTGAAGTACTGCAAGCGCAAATTCAATACATCGAACTTGAAGTATATTGACAATGCCCTTGACCGTTGTTATTTGAATGTACCTTTATTCAATATAACCAATTATAAAAAGCTGTTATTACTCATCACAATTTTTTAACTGTTTTTTGTATTATTGGTCTGAAATGTGGGTAAAATAACAATTAGTGTTTACGCTTCCAAATTGAATTACAGATGAGAGCAATATTGCTGACAGTGGTGCTGTGTATTTTATGAGCAAGATTACGAAAACAATAACAATTATTTGTAGCTTCATGCATAGTCATAGGTAGGTCGGGACTCTTCACGGGAATTGCAGTCCCTTCTTGCCCGGATAATCTGCATTAGATTCACAGAAGAGCTACACAACATATTGTGTAAATATTATTGTATATGCATATATATATATATATATATATATATATATAGATATATATATATATATATATATATATATATATATATATATATATATATATATATATATAGCATATATATATATATATATATATATATATATATATATATAGCATATATATATATATATATATATATATATATATATATATATATATTATATATATTATATATATTATATATATAGCATATATATATATATATATATATATATATATATATATATATATATATATATATATATATATATATATATATATATATAATAGCTTAATCATTTTAAAACTCATTATCAATAAATAATTATTAAATTATTTTAATAATTATTTAATTATTTTATCATTATTAAAAACTAGCTGTTCCCGGCCACGCGTTGCTGTGGCTCAGCAACCTTCCCTTGTCCCTCACTCCTCCCCACCATTCTATCCTCACCCGTCTCCTCGGCCCTCCCAACTATTCCCCACTCCCCCGTCCCCCCTCGTCCTTCCCCACCATTACCCCTTCCCTTGTCCCCTCATCCTCCCCACCATCTCTCACTTCCGTCCCCTCCTCATCCCCACCATTCCCCACTCCCTCGTCTGATGCCTTCCCAAATGGTCTGATGTTCCCATCAGAAAATTGGGAACATCAAGTGATCTGATGTTCCCATCACTGAAGTATAAGAAACACAGTTAAATATGAAATGAAAATATGAAAAAATAAAAAATAAACTATACTCACGAAATGAACGGTATGGTTATCTTGAGGTTATCTTGAGATGATTTCGGGGCTTTTTTTAGTGTTCCCGCGGCCCGGTCCTCGACCAGGCCTCCACCCCCCAGGAAGCAGCCCGTGACAACTGACTAACACCCAGGTACCTATTTTACTGCTAGGTAACAGGGGCATAGGGTGAAAGAAACTCTGCCCATTGTTTCTCGCCGGCGCCTGGGATCGAACCCAGGACCACAGGATCACAAGTCCCGCGTGCTGTCCGCTCGGCCGACCGGCTCCCAACAATGGTAAACAACACAGATGAATTCCAACGCAATTCACACAAAATAATTAAATCAAATTGAAAATAAATAAAAATCTATGAAAATTCAATTTATCAATGCTATCAGAAACAATGAAATAGAATTGTAACATATTTAGTATAGCACGTATGTTGCTCTTACATGCAACAGATGGCGCTGTTTGTCAAGAAAAGCATAGTTTTACCTGTCACAGGTGTGGCATCTATACTTATACTTACGAAATGAACGGTATGGTAAACAACACAGCTCAATTCCAACACAATGTCACACAAAATAGTTCAATAAAAAATAAAATAAATCGAAATCTATGAACAAAAAATTATCAATGCAATCGGAAACATTGACATCAAATTCGTGACATATTTAGCATAGCGTGAATGTTGCTTGTATATGCAACAGATGGCGCTGTTTTTCAAAAAACGCATGTTTTTTACCAGTCACAGAGGTGGCATCGATATAGTAGGTATATAAAAAGATGCGCCTATTTGAATGCAACGTTGTGTCAAAATTTCAAAGCAATTGGTGAAGAACTTTTGGAGATTATAGCGAGTGTTGCTCTTACTTTCAACAGATGGCGCTGTTTTTCAAAAAAAACATGTTTTTTTCCTGTCACAGGTGAGGCATGTATATGGTAGATATATAAAACGACGCGCCTATTTGAATGCAACGTTATGTCAAAATTTCAACGCAATCGGTAAAGAGGTTTTGAAGATTTCCCTCACTTGAAAAACACAGCTTTTCACAAAAAGCACGTTTTTTTTAATTGTCACAGACGTGTCATCTATATAGTATGTATATAAAACCCTGGCCGAAAGCGAATGGAACATTGTGTGAAAAATTCAAAGCAATTGGTGAAGAACTTTCGGAGATTAGCGATTTTGAACAAACGAACATTTCCATTTTTATTTATATACATTAATGAAAACACCCAAATATCTCATTTCAATTGACTAAATGGTTTACCCATTCTTCATCCACACACGTCCAAGCTGCGGGCGACCGCAAAGACGTATTCGTTAACCAGACCACACACTAGAAGGTGAAGGGACGACGACGTTTCGTCGTACTCTCCCCAGAGTACGTACGTACCTCCCCAGAGAGAGCACAATCGACTTGAAAATGGTCCAGGACGGACCGAAACGTCGTCGTCCCTTCACCTTCTAGTGTGTAGTCTAGTCAACATACGTCAGCCACGTTAGTGTGACTCCTCGCCTGCAGGTATTCGTTAATTTTAATGTAAATCGGATTTTTCGCGGAGATTAACCTTATGAGATATGTAGAACTGTCTGAATAGTAAGCTTTGGACAGGTGTTAAAATTTATGTTGGCCATTTTCAGGGGACGTAAACCATTAACGAAATATAATCGATAAACAGTTGTGCTCACCAAGGCAGTGTAACCTCGGCTCTTATATCAACTGTGCATCGTAACATAATTTAGTATAGCGTGTCCTCATAAACAAAGTACAAATGCTCTTATAAAGGAAAAATGCTCGACACACGACTGGCAACAGATGGCGTCCTCTGGTCGACTCAAACCTCTGAAGCCCTTCCCACTCTCTTGCTACAGATACAAAACCTACCCAACCTACCTTAATTTAGACATAACTAAATGTTAATGTATGCTAATGTTAATTTACATATATAAGAAAATGCTGCTTTTGAATGAGCATTAAAGTTAACATTTATAAATGTGTCCTTGGAGTCGTTCATGAATGGATTAACGAGCATTTGGTCAATGTTTTCATAATGGGCTATCATTGCTGCCACCTGTCCTCAGGCCGGGTTCGTTAGACCGGCAGTCATCCCCAAAGACGCATTCAGCAATTTGAGTGAATTGTTCATTAAAAATACATTTGTTCTCATATAAATTAATATTATTATATATTAAAGATCTGTGTAGAGTTGGGCGGAGTTTAGGTCATATGTTTAGTTTTTCTTGGCGATTATTTGTATTTGTAGCACGTAGTGGGTGAAGCGTTTACAAAGTTGCAATTTGAACAGACGTTGTCAGCGAAGCACTGTTCGAGAAATGTTCGAACGTCATCAGTTGTGAGTCGCGTGTAAACTGTTTTTCTTTTATAAACACAGCCCTCTCTTCCTAAATAGAGACGAAATGCTCGGTAATCTAGCTTCCAAACACCCATTTTTATAAAGGAAAAGTGGTTGACACACGACTCAACACTAACCACGTTCGAACATTTCTCGAACACTGCATCGCTGACGATCTCTGTTCGAATCGCAACTCTGTAAATGCTTCACCCGCGTATCCAAATATAAATAATCCCCAAGAAAAACTAAACACTTTACCTAAGTTATACCTAACTATACACAGAACTTTAACATATAATAATATTAATTTATATTAGATAACAATCCCATTTTGAATACATAATACGCTAAAATTTATACAAACGCGTTGGGTACGATCCACAGCTTTTAAGGAGCCTGGCCTGAGGACAGATTGTTTAGCAATTTGAATCAATTGAAAGATGTTAAGGTCTAGTCAGAGAGAACTGGGGCCAGATTCACGAAAGAACTTACGCAAACACTTACGAACGTGTACATCTTTCCTCAATCTTTGACGGCTTTGGTTACATTTATTAAACAGTTTACAAGCATGAAAACTTCCCATTCAACCGTTGTTATTGTTCTAAATAGCCTTCTGGTGCTTCGGAGCTCATTAACTGTTTAATAATTGTAAACAAAGCCGCCAAAGACTGAGAAAAGGTGTACAGGTTCGTAAGTGTTTGCGTAAGTGTTTTCGTGAATCTGGCCCCTGTAAGTTAGTGTGGCGGAATCATTGTAAGTGAAAAGGTGATTCGCGGCTTCATAGTGAGAATCTTATTACCGAAGATGGAACTTTGTCTTAAGGGCAAAACCTATAAGGTAAGGGATACCCATATGTTTACAAATACGTTGTTTAGGATCTCCTGAGGTATTTCCCACTGATCGAACATTACATCTCTGAACACCTGAAAAGATAGAGTTAATTATCAGTGTTTTAGATAATTTGCCAGCGGCGTGATTATCGATAGACACAATTTAGAAGTTTGTGGGAATCTCTTTGTTTTCTGTCGGGATTCAAGTCTATCATCCACAGAAAGGTTATTGCAACCACCACAGTAACTTCCTAATGGGTATAATAGCCAAGAATAAACGTTGATTCAGCTATTAATAAACGTTGATTCAGTGTTGTATAAACAATGATTCAGCAATTAATAAACGTTGATTCAGCGATTAATAAACAATGATTCAGCAATTAATATACGTTGATTCAGCGATTAATAAACGTTGATTCAGCTATTAATAAACGTTGATTCAGTGTTGTATAAACAATGATTCAGCAATTAATAAACGTTGATTCAGCGATTAATAAACAATGATTCAGCAATTAATATACGTTGATTCAGCGATTAATAAACGTTGATTCAGCTATTAATAAACGTTGATTCAGTGTTGTATAAACAATGATTCAGCAATTAATAAACGTTGATTCAGCGATTAATAAACAATGATTCAGCAATTAATATACGTTGATTCAGCGATTAATAAACGTTGATTCAGCTATTAATAAACGTTGATTCAGTGTTGTATAAACAATGATTCAGCAATTAATAAACGTTGATTCAGCGATTAATAAACAATGATTCAGCAATTAATATACGTTGATTCAGCGATTAATAAACGTTGATTCAGCTATTAATAAACGTTGATTCAGTGTTGTATAAACAATGATTCAGCAATTAATAAACGTTGATTCAGCGATTAATAAACAATGATTCAGCAATTAATATACGTTGATTCAGCGATTAATAAACGTTGATTCAGCTATTAATAAACGTTGATTCAGTGTTGTATAAACAATGATTCAGCAATTAATAAACGTTGATTCAGCGATTAATAAACAATGATTCAGCAATTAATATACGTTGATTCAGCGATTAATAAACGTTGATTCAGCGATTAATAAACGTTGATTCAGCGATTAATAAACGTTGATTCAGTGTTGTATAATCGGTGATTAATCGTTAATTCTACGATATTGTACCCACTGGAACACTAAACATCACGTGACATGTCTTCAGAACATAGTTCAGGGTTGAGATTCATGCAGCACGTGATTGTTCACGTGCGAAACCTGTAGATCTTTCCTCATTCGTGGCGGCTTAGTTTGAATTGATTAAAGCAGACTAAGCTGCCCTGCTCGAGGAAAGATTTACAGGTTTCGTAATTGGATGCGTAAATATTTACTGAATTGAAATGCTTACCGAATTGCCCGAGAAACTATGAAAACTTTACTCTGTAAATAACATGAGAAAATGTTATTTACGTTAATGTTATAATAAATAACATTGTATGAATGTTATTTATTTAAAATGTTAAAAATGTTATTTTGAGCAGGATGGGGACTTGAACTAGAGTTTGGGTTACCCCAAGGTACTATCAGGGGGAAAACGCCAAGCCATCACGACTATATAGCACTGGGGAAAGGGGTCAGGTTAAGGATTTGGGATGGGACGTGGAAGGGGGAAGGAATGGTGCTCAACCACTTGTGTGGACGGTCGGGAATTGAACGCCGACCTGCCTGTAGCGCGACCGTCGTTCTACCGTCCAGCCCAAGTGGTTGGCCTGGACTTGGGTTACCCCAGACGCGCCCCTTAACCGCTGTACCACGACGTGCTAAACGATTATACAACCTGGGATCCGCTAGAATCCACTAGAGGCATCGAGATTCTCCCGCTATATAATTTTGACTGCAGTTTTTCGTTATCTTTGGCGGAGCAATAAATAGATTCTTGCTGGTATTGCGTTTAATTTTTATTCGTTTGATTATCGTTATATAATCCAATCATTATATTGCTCGTTATAATTGTTATATCATTATATTGTTCCTCTCTTGTTCAGAAATTCTCTGAGTAGAATCCTCAACCACTTGGGCTGGACGGTAGAGCGACGGTCTCACTTAATGCATGTTAGGTCGGCGTTCAATCCTCGACCGTCCATAAGTGGGCACCATTCCTTTCCCCCCGTTCCATCCTAAATCCTTATCATGATCACTTCCAAGTACTATATAGTCGTAATGACTTTGTGCTTTCCACCTGATAATTTCCTCGCTCCGTATTATCTTATCCGAAACTTAACGTAAATATTTCGTGCTGGTACGTTATAAACTTTAAACATTAACATTTCCCTTATATATTTGTAAAGAATTGTCTGATGGTTTTGTCAGGGCTGGAGAAGAGTTCCATCAAACTTTTTTGTCAGACATTACAAAATTTTCTCCATGGAAGCTCTAATCAAATTCTTTCCTACTGTTGTGGGTGAGACTCCAAGATTGATGAATCTGTGGATGAGGCTCATACAACGATGAGTCACTCCTGTTGTCGGTGAAGTTCCCAGAATGATGAGTTGAGATGTGTGTGTGAGGCTCCCGGGACGATGAGTCTGTTCTGTTGATCCTCATACTAACAGAACGATATGAGTCTTTCGTGAACGACCAGTCCTGTTCTGTTGATCCTCATACTAACAGAACGATATGAGTCTTTCGTGAACGACCAGTCCTGTTCTGTTGATCCTCATACTAACAGAACGATATGAGTCTTTCGTGAACGACCAGTCCTATTCTGTTGATCGTCTTACGAACAGAACGATATGAGTCTTTCGTGAACGACCAGTCCTGTTCCGTTGATCCTCTTACTAACAGAACGATATGAGTCTTTCGTGAACGACCAGTCCTGTTCTGTTGATCGTCTTACTAACAGAACGATATGAGTCTTTCGTGAACGACCAGTCCTGTTCTGTTGATCGTCTTACTAACAGAACGATATGAGTCTTTCGTGAACGACCAGCCCTGTTCTGTTGATCCTCATACTAACAGAATGATATGAGTCTTTCGTGAACGACCAGACCAGTCCTGTTGATCCTCATACTAACAGAACGATATGAGTCTTTCGTGAACGACCAGTCCTGTTCTGTTGATCGTCTTACTAACAGAACGATATGAGTCTTTCGTGAACGACCAGTCCTGTTCCGTTGATCCTCTTACTAACAGAACGATATGAGTCTTTCGTGAACGACCAGTCCTGTTCTGTTGATCCTCATACTAACAGAACGATATGAGTCTTTCGTGAACGACCAGTCCTATTCTGTTGATCGTCTTACTAACAGAACGATATGAGTCTTTCGTGAACGACCAGTCCTGTTCCGTTGATCCTCATACTAACAGAATGATATGAGTCTTTCGTGAACGACCAGTCCTATTCTGTTGATCGTCTTACTAACAGAACGATATGAGTCTTTCGTGAACGACCAGTCCTATTCTGTTGATCGTCTTACTAACAGAACGATATGAGTCTTTCGTAAACGACCAGTCCTGTTCTGTTGATCGTCTTACTAACAGAACGATATGAGTCTTTCGTGAACGACCAGCCCTGTTCTGTTGATCCTCATACTAACAGAATGATATGAGTCTTTCGTGAACGACCAGACCAGTCCTGTTGATCCTCATACTAACAGAACGATATGAGTCTTTCGTGAACGACCAGTCCTATTCCGTTGATCCTCATACTAACAGAATGATATGAGTCTTTCGTGAACGACCAGTCCTGTTCCGTTGATCCTCATACTAACAGAATGATATGAGTCTTTCGTGAACGACCAGTCCTATTCTGTTGATCGTCTTACTAACAGAACGATATGAGTCTTTCGTGAACGACCAGTCCTATTCCGTTGATCCTCATACTAACAGAACGATATGAGTCTTTCGTGAACGACCAGTCCTGTTCCGTTGATCCTCATACTAACAGAATGATATGAGTCTTTCGTGAACGACCAGTCCTGTTCCGTTGATCCTCATACTAACAGAATGATATGAGTCTTTCGTGAACGACCAGTCCTGTTCCGTTGATCCTCTTACTAACAGAACGATATGAGTCTTTCGTGAACGACCAGTCCTGTTCTGTTGATCGTCGTACTAACAGAACGATATGAGTCTTTCGTGAACGACCAGTCCTGTTCTGCTGATCCTCATACTAACAGAACGATATGAGTCTTTCGTGAACGACCAGTCCTGTTCCGTTGATCCTCATACTAACAGAATGATATGAGTCTTTCGTGAACGACCAGTCCTGTTCTGTTGATCGTCGTACTAACAGAACGATATGAGTCTTTCGTGAACGACCAGTCCTGTTCCGTTGATCCTCTTACTAACAGAACGATATGAGTCTTTCGTGAAGGGCGAGTCCTGTTCCGTTGATCGTCGTACTAACAGAACGATATGAGTCTTTCGTGAACGACCAGTCCTGTTCTGCTGATCCTCATACTAACAGAACGATATGAGTCTTTCGTGAACGACCAGTCCTGTTCTGTTGATCGTCGTACTAACAGAACGATATGAGTCTTTCGTGAACGACCAGTCCTGTTCTGTTGATCGTCGTACTAACAGAACGATATGAGTCTTTCGTGAAGGGCGAGTCTCAACCTCTATGCAGATGCAAGTCTGCAAGACAAGCTTTCTCGTCTCATCTGCATGCAGTGCAAAGTGGCAGGAGGAGGATACAAGGATTTCCAAACTCTTTTTCGACTGCTCTTGTGTGGAATTCTCATTTTGGGGTTCGTATTCCTCTTCAATTATGCCCTGAAGCCGTTTATATTTATAGACAGCTAATCTCGTTCTTCCACAAACATCATTCTTTGTTGGAATATATAAATTTGGAATTTCTATATTTCTATATTCTATTTGCGCTAAAATTTCTATCATTTTTCATTGTTTGTCGATGTTGGTGCATCTCTTCTATAATATTTTTGCTGTTCCATTGTTTACTGTATAAAGATTAGATAAAGAAATAATTACGAAAACAGTGAAAGAGCCATAAATTTGATGTACGACACTAAGAGAAATACTGAAAAAGAATTGCATCTTGAGCTAGATTAAAATATTGTTAATGAATACAAATTGACAACAGATGTACAGGAGATTTACGTAGACACGTAACAGCGCCAAGGAGCAAACCTCCACCGACGGTCAACCAATCCAGCTCAACCACAGACCGCGTGGTTGACCGGGCTGGTGGATAACTACCCGCCAAACACACACCGAAACTACGACGTTGGTACAACGTTCGAACAAGTTTTAACACCTCCTAACCAGTTATAACAACCAACATAGCAAGTTGTAACAACGTTCTAATACGTCATAAACACGTTAAGTCAAGATGTAACAACTTTATTACACGTTGTAACAAGCGGAAAATAGAGACAGTTTCGGTTTGTGTTTCCAGGGAATAGAACAATAGACAATTGAATGGTGTGGTTCGCCGCCCCGCCTCCCCCTTCCCTTTTCACCCAGCCGTAATTGGAGGTCTGGCTGTTAACCAACTAGCCGATCGTGTTCCGAGGAAAAATAATAGTGTAAGGCTTGCCATGAGCTATGGAAAGATAAAGTTCTTTACCTAAAACCAGACGTAATAATTCATCCACTGGCGTCTCCACACGAGTATAAATCTATACAGACAGACTAGGCTGACCGCTAGATATGTCACGGAAAAGCTTAAGCTTGCTAAGAGGAGTCCGAAGTCGCTTACTCCTGTACCAACAGTGTACAAAAGAATATAACATTACAAAGAGCCGGAAGAATGGACAATTCCATTCTCTGGATCATTAATACATCGATCGTTAAAAAAAGGAAACAATTCTTTCGTATATCCTGTCTTGCAGATATAAGAATACGTTACCTATATAGATAACACAAAAGGTTATATAGATAACACAAAAGATAATATAAATAGGGCAAAATAGCATAAGTAGCCAATCTTTTGTTCTTTCGTTAACAGCATCTAAGTATACGAACACTACCTTCCACCAACTGATGATACTGACTTAATTGCAACGATCCAACGCCTTAGTGTATACCGGTCCACCAAGCACACAAAGTAACAACAACACAAGTTTTACGTCGCATCAACGGTGCTACAGCGTTGTGGCAACGCTCCTTTCAACGTCGTGATTACGTTGCGTGTTAGAATCTGGACCTGTATACCGTTGATTGAGGGTCGAGAGGCGGGACTTAGGAGCTATGTCTCACACCCTCCCAATTACAACCAGACATGTAATAGAAACATTCTAATAAACATTAAACTGAGCCTGTCAATCCCACCGTCCAGTACAACTGATGTATCAAATATGATGCACAGTCTAGAAAGACGGGGTCCAGGAGCTAAGAGCTCGATCTTGCAGGCACAAATAGTAAACACAACACAACAAACAGCCCTTCCACAAGAAGAGTCTAGACAATAAACTCAAAATATCTTGAAATAAAAAGTGATGCTGCCGAAGGAGATTTATTTTTAAAACAGTTCTCTTTCGACTACAATACATTCTCCCAGGCGCTGGAGTAATGGCAGATCCGGTGTCTTATTCCTAGGAATCCACGAGGAAATGACGGATTATCCCGGTGGCGGAGCTTATTCCGGCATACCTGCAGAGGCTTAGGTGTGAATCTGAGTTTCTGCAATATATGAGTTTCTCGTCTTGAATTATATGCAAATATGTCTTGTATGGATATAATTCTTTATTAAAATTATAATGTGTTCTTTAGACGTAGTCCCGGGTTCGATCCCAGGCGCCGGCGAGAAACAATGGGCAGAGTTTCTTTCACCCTATGCCCCTGTTACCTAGCAGTAAATAGGTACCTGGGTGTTAGTCAGTTGTCACGGGCTGCTTCTTGGGGGTGGAGGCCTGGTCGAGGACCGGGCCGCGGGGACACTAAAGCCCCGAAATCATCTCAAGATAACCTCAAGATAGTTCCTTTACATCGCTGCTTTTTAATGAAATCCATGTTTTTTATATTTAATGAATAGGCATATGAGTTATGTCTAATAAATAAATAATAATAGCCAATTTGCATCATGTTAAAACACATTATATATGTAAAGGAAACAGGCATTGCTAAACTTTTACTCCAGCCGGGTCAATAGGACCATTCTGAAGAGATAACCGTCTTGTGAGAAGTTGTTGAAGGAGAAGGAACGTAACTTTGTTTTTATTTGTATTCTATGGCGTATGAAGACTCGCTCTGTCACTTTCACACGCAGGTTCGAACCCCGGAGGGAGCATTATCCTTTCAACATTGTAAAGGATAAAAGTCACATAGTAAACAAGGCTGTTATCCAATAGATTGTAAAGCCTTACTGACCTTATCCAACGTAATTTAACCTAATCCAGAGCAACCCAAACTAACTTAAATCTGCCAAGTTTGACTCGGCCTTAACTGAGCAAACTACCATTTCTAGACAGTATCCAGAACTGTTATGAAAAGCAAAAAGTTTGGTGACAATGAGTTACAATGTGTTTAAGGGGTTACCTTGGGGTGCTTCCGGGGCTTAGCCTCCTCGCGGCCCTGTCGTCGACCAAGCCTCCTAACTTTGGGTCATATTTTGTAGCCCTGTTGAATTTGCGTCTCTGTAACTGGTATTTTCTCTGGGTAACCTCTCTCTGAAGCGGCTGTAGCGATATTGATTCCCAGAGTGTATTTATAGAGGCTGTGTATGTGTGTCTAGAGACACTATGATGTTTAAATGTTAATCGGAATAATTTCTATAAGGATTTCATCAACTTATTTCCCCTTATCGTCCCGGTGCATCAGTCAGGATTCACTTCATCTGAGTGTGGCTCCCTTGCGGCGATCAGTGAATTTAGAGCAATTTCAAACTTCAGACCAAAAATATGCAAGACCCACACGAACTAAACTTTGGAGGTTAGCTCGGGCGAGGGACGCAAATATTAGTAGAGTGCATTTTCGAAATAGACGCACGCAATGGTTCCCCGCAATGCGCACGCAATGGTCCCCTGTAATTTTGCCTAAAACGCTATGCAATGTTAGTGGCTTTACAAGCATATCAAAATATCACTAAAATGTAATCTCATCAATCCATTGTAGGTTGTAAATAAAATATTATTATATATTAATATTCAGGCGATGAGTCACAATAACGTGGCTGAAGTATGTTGACCAGACCACACACTAGAAATTGAAGGGACGACGACGTTTCGGTCCGTCCTGGACCATTCTCAAGTCGAAACGTCGTCGTCCCTTCAATTTCTAGTGTGTGGTCTGGTCAACATATTAATATTATTATTATATGGGTTTCTATCAAATTCTATGTCCAAGGAACAATAACTTGAAGGGCGGTAACTAATTGTGAAATGAAAATAAACTTTCTGTTCAAATCACATGTGATTACTTCTGAACTTTTCTTGAACAGTGCCTCGCTGGCCTCCTGTGTTCGAATTGCATCTTTCTAAATGCTTCTCGCACGTTTGTGGTTGAAAGATTTGGAACAGCGGTTCAACCCTTGGGGAGAGCTTTGTTCAACCCTTGGGTGAACATGGTTGAACCATTTCCCTGTAATATAGAGCAGCATTCACTCCTAAATTTGAAGGCCCTTTTTATTTTTATTTATTTTTTGTTACTCTTCTAAAACTATTAAATATATTTAATATTTATTAAATATTAATATTAAAAATAATACTTATTACAAATAAGTATTAACATACAATTATAAGAGAATAACCTTTATATTATTTTAATAATAGTTAATATTAAACAAATATGTTAATATTTTACCCGTATATGTCCTCGTAGCCTGGTGGATAGCGCGCAGGACTCGTGATTCTGTGGCGCGGGTTCGATTCCCGCACGAGGCAGAAACAAATGGGCAAAGTTTCTTTCACCCTGAATGCCCCTGTTACCTAGCAGTAAATAGGTACCTGGGAGGTAGTCAGCTGTCACGGGCTGCTTCCTGGGGGTGGAGGCCTGGTCGAGGACCGGGCCGCGGGGACACTAAAGCCCCGAAATCATCTCAAGATAACCTCAAGATATGTTAATAATTATTATCCCTATGTTTCTTTATTGGCTTCTGTATCTACGGTGCTGTTTGGGTTTGATCTATGCATCAGCGGCTACGTATCATCCTCACTCTGTCTCCACGTTTTCTTCTAATACAAAGGTGCTCCATCTAGCCTTTCCATAGATCTGCCTGTACATCAATCCCTTTATCCGCCACTTTCACCTAGCCTGTATGGGTTGTGTTCTTTAAGTCTCTCTTTTAGTGTCTTAGCTTTGCTTTCTTGTACTGTTCAATTAAATCACAAACCATCTTTATTGCTGTTTCTAGTTTCTTATATATGTTTCAAACGCAACACTCCCCCAAAAAAAGCTAGTTTTCACGTAGTGTTCCACTTCGTTCATTGTTCGCAACCCTCCATCAGTGGAAGGTTGTGAACAATGTTCAGGATCAAAGCGTTCTTGGTAATTGGTTGTCAAGCACTTGTGATGCGATTAATCACCCTTCAGAGGTTGAGAGGCCTTGAGCCCATCACCAAACCTGATCATTTATCTCGGTTTCGTGAGGGTTCAGAACCGGTCTCGTTCGTTCCAGCTGCTCAAAACTAAAATTACCCAATGCTGTTAGCTTTCGATTCATTTATCTGTGAGGGATAACACTGCCATGTGGTCATCATATCGGGGCCTCCAATTGTACAATCATTGTAAATTACTGTCACAATTATACATTGTACAATCATTTTGTAAGTGTTATCTGTGTAGTTTGTGAGTAAGTTACAAGTCGGGGTTTCCATTTCCACAACTGCCATGCGCCAATCTTTACTGATCTGAATGGCCACTTTGTCTCCTGGCTGTCCTTGTTGTATGGAACCACTCTGGAAAATTGTATTTGTTAATACCGCTGATAGTTTAGTTTCTGCGAGTTTTATACCTGAAGGCACTCGGGGAGAGTGGCTTAGAGAGAGGGAACTAACTGTTCTCGCCTAGATGGGCTTGAACAGATCAGACTCCAGCTCCTGGGACACTTTTTTGTTTAACTTCCTAACCCACGGTTATAATTTATGGTACATATTGACTAATGTGTGAAGCTCTAAATTCTCCTGTTTCTTCAAACTCTTTTTTCCACTTTCTTGCTGCCCCATTTACTGAGGGAAAATCTATTTAGTTCACCTGTTTTTTAATGTTTTTTTTATTCATCTGTGTTTATTTCTTTTACAAACATAAAGAATGAAAGGAATGGTTGTTACATTATCCGTGTTTGCATTATATTCTGTAGTTAGATCTCATTTTAATCTTTTTGCTTGTGATGAGATTCAATTCTCACCACAAGTTTACCTGGACAGGACGGCGATCATTTAGACTGGACTGTCTCGCTCCCTGGCAGGTCGGCGTTCAATCCCCCAGGCCGTCCACAAAAGGTTGGGCACCAGTCCTTCTCCTTCGTCCTTTTCTAAATCCTTATCCTTGTATCCCCTCCTTCCAAGTGCTACACAGTTGTACTGGATTGGTGTTTTCTCTTGCAAATTACCATCACTTTGATTCTGGTCAGAGACGTCCGGCAAACCTCATGATTTTCAATTTCTTTGCGAGTTTTTGTTTTCTTTCTGTATTGTAGTGAAGACCTTTTGTTGGTCTTGGAGAATTTAATGAGTCTTCGTAATGCTTATTAAAGACTGCTCCTATATATTAGGAGGCTTTGAACATGATGTTGAAGCTATCTTTCTTACATGTACTTCCAGTAATTATATATAATATATACACATAATGTGTGTGTATACAGGATTATAATAAACAGATGATAATGCATGATAATAAATTATACAAATTATCGGAGGATTATAATTACCTGCCAATGCATATTCACTAATCAATTAGGTATAGTTGATTTGTGTACATATTCAGATGAGTAAGAAACTTTATTTTTTTTCAAGACTGATGACCTGTCATTGTCGTAGGCAGTAAAGGACTCGGCTGAGGGTTATTTGCGTAACTACAAATTAATGGAACTTACGCGTTATTGGACGTCTAATTAACGCGCATCGATCCGGTTGCAATTAAAATATTGAAATGTAATTACTTTGCAGAATACTGCTCGGTTGGTCTGAGTGTTTTTGTTGTTATATTCTAGTAGTTGTATTCAGCTAGTTGTGCTTGCGGGGGTTGAGCTTGAAGGAGGTTGAACTCCCCCTTCAGAGCAGGAGAGATTGCTGAAATAGAGGGAATACAGAGAACATATACGGCACGCATAGATGCAATAAAGCACCTAAATTATTGGGATCGTCTCAAAGCCCTCCAAATGTACTCACTAGAAAGAAGACGAGAGAGATATCAAATAATATACACCTGGAAGATACTGGAGGGCCAAGTACCAAATCTACACAGTAAAATAACAACGTACTGGAGTGAACGACATGGAAGAAAATGTAGAATAGAACCAATGAAGAGCAGAGGTGCCATAGGCACAATCAGAGAACACTGTATAAACATCAGAGGTCGGCGGTTGTTCAACGTCCTCCCAGAAAGCATAAGAAATATTGCCGGAACAACCGTGGACATTTTCAAGAGGAAACTAGATTTATTCCTCCAAGGAGTGCCGGACCAACCGGGCTGTGGTGGGTATGTGGGCCTGCGGGCCGCTCCAAGCAACAGCCTGGTGGACCAAACTCTCACAAGTCGAGCCTGGCCTCGGGCCGGGCTTGGGGAGTAGAAGAACTCCCAGAACCCCATCAACCAGGTATCAACCAGGTATCAACCTCAATCAACTGGTGTACAGATTCCTGAAAGAGTGAAGATTCCTGAAGAGTGATTGTAGATGAATGTTTTTGTCTAACTGTCTTGTTTTTGGTGGGGGGGATCCGGGTGCTCCCGGGTCTCCATGTTTGTCAATATCTCCTCTCTCACAATCTCGCCTCTCCCCCTTCTCTCACCTCTCTCTCTCCTTCCCCTTGCAGCCCTCTCTCCCACCTTCTTCCTTCTCTCACACTCCTTCCCTCTCTATCTCTCGGAAAAGAAGTTATATAACAAAGAAATGGAACTGGCGAATAAGTCTACGGGCAATAAAACCAATATATCAAATTTGATTTCATGAAAATCGCACTAAGGGGGGTTGGGTTAGGTGGCGTTATTTCTTAAAGTGTGGCACTTGAGTCTACCCTGACTGGCCTATGACATTCCCCTACCCAGCATGTGTCACGTGTAAGAGTTAGCTGAGGCTAGACCTTTGCATCTAGCCTCCAACCTTGGACAGACAGAAATTCTATTCTTTATATGTAGATAGAACGGGTACTCGGTTCTCTTTCCCCTTCTTTGGTCTTCCCTTATTCGTTTCCCTCTCCTTTGGGACCCCTTGGTCCCCCCCTTCCCTTCGTCCGTCCCCTCAACCTCCCCCCCCCCCACCCCTCTTCCTCTCTCCCCCCCCTGATCCGCAGATACTCCCCTCCCCCTCTTAGAAAATTTATTATGAAGCACTGAAACAACTCTTTGGTAACAAGCAATATTTCAGACTTACCTCCATAAACATTGCCTTGGGTAGGGGGAGGGAAAGGGAACTATTAGGAGAAAGTGCCAAGCCATTACGACTCTCTATATATCACCTTGAGGTTACCTTGAGGTGCTTCCGGGGCTTAGTGTCCCCGCGGCCCGGTTGTCGACCAGGCCTCCTGGTTGCTGGACTGATCAACCAGGCTGATCACTGGGAAAGGGTCAGGATAAGGATTTGGGATGGGACGGAGGAGCAGGGAGGGGTCTTTATAAATGCCAATATTTCTAAAAAGCATTTCAGTTAAAGCATTTCGCTGGCCTATTTCACTCCCCTACCCCACATGCTTCATGATTGAAAGTTGGGGGTGAGACTAACCTAAGCGCCTAGCCACCGTCTTTGGTTTGACAGATGTAAATAAGTAAAGATAGGGTTTGTGTGTGCTCGTTCATCTATGAATGCATGAGAGAGCTGAAAGGAAGGAAAGGAATTATCAAGGGAAAAGCGCCAAGTCATTACGACTATATAGCACTTGGAAGGGGTCTGGATAAAGATTTGGGATGGGACGGGGGGGGGGGAGGAATGGTGCCCAACTACTTGTGGACGGTCGGGGATTGAACGCCGACCTGCATGAAGCGAGACCGTCGCTCGACCGTCCAGCCCAAGTGGTTGGACTTGAGAGGGTCGAGCTTCATCTTGACTGGTGAGCTGTACTAAATCTCTCTAAATGATCCCTCGACCTTGCCCAATATTTTGTGTAAACCCTCATCTTAATCCCACTCCTCCCCCCCGTCCCACCCCCTTCTTACCTCTCACAAGGGGTGACTCGTCAAAATTAGCCTCATTTCATTTCCGCATGACATTGCAGTTGTCAGGGGTTGAACTCCAGTAGCCATTTGACGAATCAACCGGACAACTTGTCCGTTCCTTCAATGGCTTTATGAACTCCTATTCTACCTCCCTATTTCCAAATTTTTCCCCGCGTCCTATTTCTTATCTTTCGGTAGGAATTTGCACGAGGCTACCTATCCAATTAGTAGGTCCTCGTCATACATTGCGAACAGCATCGGTCTAAACAAGAATATGTTTTGCGAGACTGTTCGTTACGACTGCTCCTTACAGTTGTTTCCAAGTAGCACGGGATAGGGTGATCCCGCCGTGGACTGACCTGACTAACTTTTATTCCGTCTCGACTATCTTAAGTGTACTTAATGCCATACACCGTTTGTCTGGAGGTTACTCCGTGTGCTAGAGCATTAGCTTTGATCAATCAGCCATTTACTGCTTGCTGATTACCACCTCCTCGCGATCGAGTGATCGAGAATATTGGTGGGTTATTGAGGGGGGGCTGGGGGGGGGCTGGGAGGGGGGGACTACAGTTAGAGGGAATAGGGGGAGCGTGGGAGATGGGGGAAGAGATGGGGGGGTTGTGAAGGACTCAGGAATGTATATCGTTTCTCGCACGCGAATATTCATAGAGGAGTTTCGAGTGCGTGTAGGCTTGCGTGTGCTTGCTCCTCGCTCGCATGTACGATCAGCTTTGCGTGCAGGCTCGTGTGCGCACGTGTGTGTGCGTGTGTGAGAGCGTGCGTGTTTGTATTCACGCTTATGTCATTTTCTACACATGGGAGGATAACTCCAGCGGTATGGTAGATGTGTCGCAGTGCTGCAGGTGTCTGGCAACATTCACTGCAGTATTTACAGGTGTTTGGCAAGTTTTTATGCAGTGTTTTGCAGGTGTTTATGTGAGTATACCGAAGTGTTGTAGGTATTTGATGAGCTTACCGCGGTGTTACGGGGGTTCGGTAAACTTACCGGAATGTTGCAGATGTTGGGTGAGTTTACTTTAGTGATTGCAGGTGTTGGGTGAGGTTTACATTAGTGCTGAAGGTATCGCTGAGTTTACGAGCATCGCGTGTGACAAAGGGAGGGGGGGGGAGGGAGGTATACATGCGTGTTTCTGTCTATTTGTCTGTTTATATGTCGCTCTCTCTTGCTGTCTCTGTCTCGCTGTCTTTGTCTAGATATCTCTCTGTCTCCTTTTCTCTCTCTCTCTCTCTCTCTCTCTCTCTCTCTCTCTCTCTCTCTCTCTCTCTCTCTCTCTCTCTCTCTCTCTCTCTCTCTCTCTCTCTCTCTCTCTCTCTTTCATTGTTATTCTTCGTCTTGCTTGGCTACTCTTCACCTTATAGATGGAATGCTGATTGGGTTCAATTGCAAACATTGGAAATGTAGGCGAAGGGAGAGCCAAGTAGGAGAGTAGGGTAACAAGGTGTAATGGGTAAGTAGGGGTGAAGAGGGAGAAGGGAAAGATATAAGGGAAATGGGTATTGATATTTCAGCCCATCCTCCTGTTTTGGTAGTACTTATAGTAACGATGAGGCCCATTCTCCAAGAGGACAGTCTCCAGAAAGCACTTACGCAAGCACTTACGAACGTGTACATCTTTCCTCAATCTTTGACGGCTTTGGTTACATTTATTAAACAGTTTACAAGCATGGAAACTTGCCAATCAACTGTTGTTATTGTTATAAACAGCCTCCTGGTGCTTCGGAGCTCATTAACTGTTAAATAATTGGAAACAAAGCCGCCAAAGATTGAGAAAAGATGTACAGGTTCGTAAGTGCTTGCGTAAGTGATTTCGTGAATCTGGCTCCTGGTGGATTGGTTATGGATGAATTTTACCTAGGCTAATCTCTCCTAAGCTACATTCACTTGGGCTGTAAGAGATTCGAACCAAGGGACCCTACGGGTGTGAGGCGCAGAAGCTCTATTGATCGAGCTATCTCTCCTAAGTTACCCGTCACTTTATCACAACATTATCACAACATTCACGCTGTGAAAGAGCGTCGGCATATCTGTGAAATTTTGCTTCAGCCTGACGGCTATTGCACGCAACGTCGCCACTTTGCAATGGCTGCAACAAAGGCCAGGTGAAGTTTAGCCAATAGGAGAGCAAGCGAACTGGTCCACAGTGCACCTGTTCAAGTAAGGGTCCTTGCTCAGGGGCTGTCCTTATCAACAGGCTTTAACCTGGTCGGTCGGCCGAGCGGACAGCACGCTGGATCCTATGGTTCTGGGTTCGATCCCAGGCGCCGGCGAGAAACAATGGACAGAGTTTCTTTCACCCTATGCCCCTGTTACCTAGCAGTAGAATAGGTACCTGGGTGTTAGTCAGCTGTCACGGGCTGCTTCCTGGGGGTGGAGGCCTGGTCGAGGACCGGGCCGCGGGGACACTAAAAACCCCGAAATCATCTCAAGATAACCAAGATAACCTCTAGATGGTCTCGATTCCCTTAGGCCGTGAGAGTCGACTGCAATGCTACAAGAGCACCCTGAAGGACTCGGGTCTCATCAAATTTGTAATTATAACTAAAGGCTTTAACGTTGTCGAAACCTTGAATCTGGTGAACAAATCCACAAGGGGCCGTGATGAGGGTTCGAACCTACGTCTGAGAGGATCCCAGTCGCATCTTAATCAACTGTACCACGTCATGGTCAAGAGAATTGCACACGGATCCTGCAGCCTCTCCGAGACACAAACCTCGGACGTAGGTTCGAATCCTCATCACGGCCCTTGTGGATTTGTTCACTTGATGCATCACGCTATTGTGATTTTCTGTGTGTAATTAGATCTGGTATTAGTACCTAGGGTAAATATGCAAAGTCATAACAGTTAACAAACGTTTATTCAGTAAACTTGTGTGGTAATGTATAGGTTAGTTACGTTACACTAGACTGGTGTTGTCAGGGGCTAATTATCACGTGAGGGAGACCCTGGGGCTCCTTAACTGACCGATCACGTGGTTCACTCGTGGATAATTCTATCTTGACACTTTCTTAGACAACCAAATGGCCAACTCGGCTTTCCTAACACTGGCGGTTATAAAGGGGAAACTAATGTGTTTCTACGGATACTCGACGATCAAAACAATGACATGCACAATCAGAACAATAATGGCCTGTCATGCTGACTGTCAATAAAACACGCATATGTAGCTAATTGTATCGTGTGTGTGTGTGTGTAAAATACATATTCATTCTGACAGATGGAACAACCATCATACCACACAACTAATTACCTGTTTGCAATCGATCCTGTGATTAGTAAAAACCTACACCTGTTGCAAGTTAGTAGCAAGGCAGGTAATCTCTCGCTGATCAAAATGGATCGAGACGCAAATATACAGCAACACAATATAACCGAGTTTAACACTCACAGTAATTCTGACTTTACACTCTCACACCAATAACTTTCTCAGCAAGCTCACGGACGACCTGAGTGGCTGTGATCTTCACAGTCATCGGGCTTGGGGTAGACCTGAGTGGCTGTGATCTTCACAGTCATCGGGCTTGGGGTAGACCTGAGTGGCTGTGATCTTCACAGTCATCGGGCTTGGGGTAGAACATGGTTACACAGGAGTATTGTAGTCCATCTCGCAGAATTGGTGCTGGTGAGCTCTCTGCAAACGTCCGCACGTGGTCTCTATGTTGATCAGCCTCGTGGCTGGCGGACACATTGAAGACACACGTGGTAAAGGGACACCTAAGGTGCACACGGGGGGAGGAGCACGGCATGTGGGAACGTGGAACGTCATGTGGGAACGTGGAACGGCATGTGGGAACGTGGAACGGCATGTGGGAACGTGGAACGGCATGTGGGAACGTGGAACGGCATGTGGGAACGTGGAACGGCATGTGGGAACGTGGAACGGCATGTGGGAAGTATGTCACTATAAACAAAGTATACAATGCTCCCGGACGCAGGTTCGAATCCTCGTCACGGCCCTTGTGGATTTGTTCATTTGATGCATCGCGTTAGTGTGATCTCTGTGTGTGTTATGTCACTATAGTTGGACCTGGTAACAGACGCGACAGTCGACTAGGGATAACATGTAGGACGCTTTCGGCGGCTATATATATAATATATATAATATATATAATATATATAACATAATATTACTGGTTAGAGCCAACCAAAAAAACGCACACACAACGTAGCGGCTATGGTCTATCTTCTAATTTTCATTAAAGACACTCCACCTTCAATCTATGGGTCCACCCTTGGTTTAGAACACAACTTTCGCTGAGCACTTTTCCGTACGTCAACTATACAGATGACCCAGATACAACGCGATCAAAGTGATGCACTTCACACCCTCCTGGCGCCCCCTGGTCGTACCTCACTACAGTCACTCCATTGGATGTGAAAATGATTACACAATGGGATTCCGGCCGCTGGCAAGATATTTTCAGCGGATTAGGATGCTGCAATTAATTTGACGCCTTGAGGACTTGGACGATGTGTTTTCTAATTAGTGGCCGCTTACAGATAGACTTGTGTGGTGACGGGTGTTCTAGCCTGGGATATCTGGCCCTGGTGAGCAAGCAGACTCCAATCAGCTTCAGCCTATGTCTTTGGGATTGGCTATTCAGCGATCAGTTAGTTACTCTGCGGTGCCTAAGTACAATGGGGTCACTATAGGCCCATCTACTGGTGATGTGATTCACGACCTCATGGGTACTTCACCAATCTCAGAGTTTACCGTTGGGAATGACCTGACCTCCTAGTCTTTTCTGCATAGCCTGAGATCAAAATACTCCCTCCAGTTGTCTTCCAAAAGGGTATACACTGGTATACTCTCCCTCTATCTCCTCTTCACTGCCTAAAGACGCGACGGCCCTCGTGACAATATCTTAGAATCATGGGCCCTCATTTGAGACCAAAAATGTACGTGCATAGCCTTCCCGATTTGGTGATTCTTTTGATACTTACTTGAGACAAAAGTAAGGGAGGTGATTGTCCAGTAGTATTGGCCGTGTGGGGCGTTCGAGAGTCACTTTCCCAACTTCAGTGCGTGTGTGTGTAGATGTTCTGTAGATGTGTAAATGTTCTGTAAAAGTCAGCTGTGGGAAACTGAAAGACCATTCCCTCACACTAGTCTTTAGCATCTTCCATTCCTGACCTCTTGTTATGTCTTAGTAATACTAAACTTTACGTCCTTAGCCACTCTGTCGATAACCTAAAGTATCTTGTATGTCTGGATTATGTGTTTTTCACATAGCATGAGGCTGAATTCCATCAGTTAGTCATCAAAGCTGTATTTTGAGGTGTTTCATGCTGTGGGGGCTCTATGCTAGTGAAGCATACTCTAGTAAAGGTCAAACGTATGTGATATACCCCATTCTCACAGCGCATATATAGTATATATATAAATTCCTTTCGAATGTGTATATCGGTGTAGTGAACATTTGAAGTATCTTGGCATGACCTTGTGCCACGCAGAGGGGCCGCAGCATCCAGGATGTTTAACTGCATTAATGCATCTTCCAGCTCGAGAGTTATGGATTATGATGCTGGATGCTTGAGGTAAGCTGGGTCATCAGGCCAGATTTATACCGAGGGTATGAAATATATCATCTTTATGATATTATCCGCTTGGTTGGCTGGCGCAGAACTTGTGAATTACCAGACGGAGGTACCTGGCTGTGCCTGGGTCTCTCTCTCTCTCTCTCTCTCTCTCTCTCTCTCTCTCTCTCTCTCTCTCTCTCTCTCTCTCTCTCTCTCTCTCCACCAATTCCCCATCTCCTCCCATTCAACTTATCCTTATTAAATCGTGCAATGGTCCAGGAGCGACCGAAACGTTCTCAATTTCTTTATTTCCAGATCTGGATATCTAAAACACCTTATTTCAATCCGTCCTCAGTCTGTGGTCGTCTATGCTATGGCTGCCCTCAAAAACACGGGTTCCAACTTGCTCTGGAACCAAAAGCTATATTTTCTCATTAATTAATACCAGTGTGTACTTAAGTTTTGTCCATAGTTAGACCTAGGATACGGTAGGTTAGGTGCTTTGGTTCTAATTGCAAATATTTTTCATTTGCATTATTTGCAAGATAATTAACTCATCCTCCGAACAATACACGTCCAAGCTGTTACTGACTCAAATTACGCAAATCATCAACAAATATATTTCATCAAGTCGTCAAATTAAAATAAATGAATATCAATGTATATTATAATTTTCCTTATAGTTATGACTACGCTAGATTATGTTAGTCTAAGGTTATGTCTAACACTGCTACCTTATTCACTCTTGTGTTGATATCCTTGTAACGCACCCAGAGTCTGCAAGTGCAGACTGCTTATCACGTGCCTCTGTATGACTAACCATCCTGTGTGATGGGGATTTTTTAGCATCACGTAGCTAGCTTTTTGACACACTGTACTCCCCTTCATATAGTCTAGGGTAGCTGCACAAATGCAGATACCTAATATATAATAACGACATCATCAAGAGGAGCCTCACCACAGCTGGATGCCCAGCTGAAAGAGAGCCCCGTTACCTAATATATTAATAAAAAAAAAATTCTGAGAGGAGGCAGGAAGGAGAGAGGTAAATACAGTGGGATAAACAAGAGAGAGGTGAGAGTAGGGGAGATTGGGAAAGCAAAGAACAGGGGTAAAGAGGAGATGGGAGGAGAGAGCTGATAGGAGGAATCTGGGGAAAGTTGAAGAAAATGTGTAGAAAAACTGAGAGGGGAGAAGAGAGGCGAAAGAGGAGTGAGAGGGAGAGAGAGGGGTGAGTGGGTAAGAGAGAGAGAGGGGAGGGGGCAGAAACACAGAGCTGTGTAACCCATCAAGTTAATTTATATTTGTAAAAACGCCAGCCTGCTGGAAACCATCGATCCTCGGCTAGATATTCCACACCTAAATATAACATTGCACACTTTTTTAGATTAAACAAAGACGTTAAATGCAATTATTTAGACTTTTTTAATTAGTGTAATAACCTGAATCCTGTCTAAATAATGATATAATGGGTTAACACAGTGCAAATTATCACATAATCTTTTTTTGCCTCGTTGGCGCAGCGGCACGTGATTGTTCCACTGTTTACAAACAGAGTCATATCAGCTGTTGGTCACGCAAATGTTTACAAACACAGTCACGTCAGCTGTTGCTCACGTGGTCTTTAATTTTTTTTATCAGCAGAAATATCAGCTGTTGGTCACGTGGTTACTTAAATGTTTACAAACACGAAATATCAGCTGTTGGTCACGTGGTTACCCAAATGTTTACAAACACGAAATATCAGCTGTTGGTCACGTGGTTACCCAAATGTTTACAAACACGAAATATCAGCTGTTGGTCACGTGGTTACCCAAATGTTTACAAACACGAAATATCAGCTGTTGGTCACGTGGTTACTTAAATGTTTACAAACACGAAATATCAGCTGTTGGTCACGTGGTTACCCAAATGTTTACAAACACGAAATATCAGCTGTTGGTCACGTGGTTACCCAAATGTTTACAAACACGAAATATCAGCTGTTGGTCACGTGGTTACTTAAATGTTTACAAACAAGAAATATCAGCTGTTGGTCACGTGGTTACCCAAATGTTTACAAACACGAAATATCAGCTGTTGCTCACGTGGTTACTCAAATGTTTACAATTACAATTATACGAGATGTTGACCATGCACAGTCCGTCCACGACTTGACACGACGTACGACGTTTTGTAAGTTGGATTATTATTAATCTAGCTATCCTGATTTCAACTTTTCTCGACATGTGATATTGAGTCAGTTATTCAATAATGGGGTCGACAGTCTTTGGATCGAGAGAGCACAGACTGACCATAATACTTTCTCAGGTATTTATGTAGGTCGACCGTAACAAGGGTCGATAGTTCAAGTACAGGTCAACCAGAAAACTTGATTAGTCATTCAGTAATTGGGTCGACTGTCTCAAGGTCGAAAGGTAGAGCAAAGGTCGACCAGAATGCTTGCTCAAGTCATGCAATAAATTTTAATGATAGTTCCTGGTTCTTTGACAATATTTCCACTAATAAATGATCAATGTATTCTCTTTCTCTCTCTCTTTCTCTCTCTCTCTCTCTTCCCGCCTCTTATCTCTCTCTCTTCTCTCTCTCTCCTCTCTCTTCTCTCTCTCTCTCTCTCTCTCTCTCTCTCTCTCTCTCCTCTCTATCTCTCTCTCTCTCTCTTCCCGCCTCTTATCTCTTCTCTCTCTCTCTCTCTCTCTCTCTCTCTCGTCTCTCTCTCTCTCTCTCTCTCTCTCTCTCTCTCTCTCTCTCTCTCTTTTCTCTCTCTATCTCTCTTCCCGCCTCTTATCTCTCTCTCTCTCTCTCTCTCTCTCTCTCTCTCTCTCTCTCTCTCTCTTCTCTCTCTCTCTCTCTCTCTCTCTCTCTCTCTCTCTCTCTTCCCGACTCTTATATCTCTCTAGATCTCTCTCTCTCTCTCTCTCTCTCTCTCTCTCTCTCTCTCTCTCTATCTCTC